CTTGGTGGAAATCGGCCTATGTGTTAATAATAATAATAATAATAATAAAAATATTATTATTATTAGTAGTAGTAGTAGTAGTAGCAGTAGTAGTAGTAGTAGTAGCAGTAGTAGCAGCAGTAGTAGTAGTAGTATAAGAGTGATTGCTTGTCTGGGTTTTTAACTGTTTTGTTCTTTATTTCTTTCAGCCGTGTGGCTTGGACTGAGTCATCCGGCGCAAGCAGCACAAGGCGGCAGCTAGATCTTAGCGCTAGATCTGTGACTCCACCTGCTTTCACGAACTATCTTCTGGATGCCATATCAGTGTCTTAGCACACTCATAAGAATTACCATCAGTTATCTTCATAACCTATAGCAACCTTCATCGCAGAGTACTCAAAGCCAACGTTTCGAATTACCTGTTGTCTACTAAGGGTGAAACACTAAGTACAACTTGGTGCCTCTGTTCTGCGTCTCTACGGTCATCTGTTGAAGTGCTGATTTTTTTTTTAAGAGTCGTGTCCAACTGCGACTACCTCGTCTTCACGTGTATCACTGTCAATACTATGAATCCTGCTAACTACGTGTTACAGTCCATCTGCACACAGGAATACCATCTTTCCTGATTCTGTGTCTGTATATAGGAACATTACCTAAGTTTCACATTATTGTTTGTGCTTAAATTTTTGTTTTGCATCAGCTAGGAAATTTTCACGTTTAAGCCTTTTATATTTAAATAATAAATTAATTTTGCCTCCTTTTTCTACGATTGATTATTCTTACCTTTTATTAATTTTGCTATACTTATCAAATAAATGAAGGGTCCTTTCAAATACTCAGCATGGATTCACAAGAGGCCGGTCTTGTCTAACTAATTTATTAACTTTCTTCAGTAAAGCTTTTGAGGCTGTTGACCACAATAAAGAATTTGATATTATTTACTTAGATTTTAGTAAGGCTTTTGATAGAGTTCCGCACCATAGACTGTTAAAGAAAGTGGCAGCTCATGGCATTGGGGGAAAAGTGCTCTCGTGGATCGAGTCATGGCTCACTGACAGGAAGCAGAGAGTGTCCATAAATGGGGTTAAATCCGAGTGGGGATCTGTAACAAGTGGCGTTCCACAGGGATCAGTCTTGGGCCCGTTGTTGTTATAATATATATCAATGATCTTGATGAGGGAATTACTAGTGATATGAGCAAATTCGCCGATGACACAAAGATAGGTAGGATAATTGATTCAAACGTAGATGTTATGGAACTTCAGGAGGATTTAAACAAACTCTATTCTTGGTCAGAAAAGTGGCAGATGCAGTTCAGTGTAGATAAATGCAAGGTTCTGAAGCTTGGGAGTGCCCATAACCCTAGTACTTATAAGTTAAATGATGTAGAACTTAGCCATACAGATTGCGAAAAGGACTTGGGGTTATGGTGAGCAGCAACCTTAAACCAAGACAGCAATGCCTAAGCGTACGTAATAAGGCAAATAGATTACTGGGATTTATATCAAGAAGTGTAAACAACAGAAGTCCAGAGGTCATACTGCAGCTTTATACATCATTAGTAAGGCCTCACCTAGATTATGCAGCTCAGTTCTGGTCTCCGTATTACAAAATGGACATAAATTCGTTAGAAAACATTCAGCGTAGGATGACTAAATTAATACATAGCATTAGAAATCTTCCTTATGAAGAAAGATTGAAGACTCTTAAGTTACATTCACTTGTTAGACGAAGAATGAGGGGAGACCTGATCGAAGTGTATAAGTGGAAGATAGGTATTAATAAAGGGGATATTAATAAGGTCTTGAGGATACCTCTCCAAGAGAGAACCCGCAGTAATGGATTTAAATTAGATAAGTTGAGATTTAGAAAGGACATAGGAAAGTATTGGTTTGGAAATAGGGTAGTTGATGAGTGGAAGTCTACCTAGTTGGGTTATTGAGGCTGGGACTTTGGGTAGTTTCAAATCTAGGTTGGATAAGTACATGAGTGGGAGGGGTTGGATTTGAGTGGGACTTTCACATCAGAGCTTATTTCTTGGGTGGCATTGAAAATTGGGTTGGGCAAATGTTTTGTTAGTGGGATGAATTGTAAAGGACCTGCCTAGTATGGGCCAGCAGGCCTCCTGCAGTGTTCCTCCTTTCTTATGTTCTTATGTTCTTAAATACCCTATGAGGGTCTGAAAGGGCGGCTATACCTTCAGTTTCCTAGTTCTACATGAATTCATGTATAATAACACTGTCACATGTGAAATATTGAAATCCCAGTACGACTCTGTGTTTAGTGAACCACTAATCGGTCTGAGGATCGACGACCCAAATGATTTCTTCATGAATGAGCCTCAAATCTCCATAAATGTATGCCAGATTTCCGACATTACCCTAACTCCGATAGATTTCGAAAAAGCCATTGACAACATGCCTATGCACTCAGCCCCGGGCCCAGACTCGTGGAACTCTGTTTTCATTAAGAACTGCAAGAAACCCCTCTCGCGTGCCCTAAGTACACTATGGAGGAGGAGCTTGGACATGGGTGAAATTCCACAGTCACTTAAAACAACGGATATAGCCCCACTCCATAAAGGTGGCAGCAAAGCATTAGCTAAGAACTATAGACCAATAGCTCTGACATCCCACATCATAAAAATCTTTGAAAGAGTGCTAAGAAGCAGGATTGCAAATCACCTGGATTCCCAAAATCTGCACAATCCAGGGCAACATGGGTTCAGGGCAGGTCGCTTCTGCCTCTCACAACTACTGGATCACTATGACATGGCCTTGGATGCACTGGAAGAAAATCAGAATGCAGATGTAACATACACAGACTTTGCAAAAGCATTTGACAAATGCGATCATGGCGTAATAGCCCATAAAATACGTGCTAAAGGAATAACTGGGAAAGTGGGGAGATGGATCTTCAACTTCCTAACAAATCGAACACAAAGAGTAGTGGTCAACAGAGTTAAATCGGTGGCTGCCATAGTGAAGAGCTCTGTTCCACAAGGCACAGTACTCGCCCCCATCTTATTCCTTATCCTCATATCAGACATAAACAGAGATATACACCACAGCACCGTATCATCCTTTGCGGATGATACTAGGATCTGCATGAGGCTGTCATCTGCTGAGGACGCGGTTAACCTCCAAGAAGATATAAACAAAGTTTTCCAGTGGGCAACGGTAAACAATATGATGTTCAATGAGGACAAATTCCAACTACTCCGTTATGGAAAACTGGAGGAGATAATAACTAGAACAGAGTATACTAGTGACTCCGGCCATACAATAGAGCGGAAAAATAATGTAAGGGACCTGGGAGTAGTAATGTCTGAGGATCTCACTTTCAAGGATCACAACAGTGCCACGATCGCACGTGCAAAGAAAATGATAGGATGGATAATGAGAACTTTCAAAACGAGAGATGCCAAGCCCATGATGATCCTTTTCAAATCCCTTCTCTCTAGGCTGGAATACTGCTGTACATTAACATCTCCATACAAAGCAGGTGAAATCGCAGATCTAGAGAGTGTACAGAGATCCTTTACTGCACGTATAAGTTCTGTCAAGCACCTTAACTACTGGGAACGCTTGGAAGCACTTGACTTGTACTCGTTGGAACGCAGGAGGGAGAGATATATCATAATCTACACTTGGAAAATCTTGGAAGGAATGGTCCCAAATCTGCACACAGAAATCACTCCCTACGAAAGTAAAAGACTGGGCAGGCGATGCAAAATGCCGCCAATAAAAAGTAGGGGCGCCATTGGTACACTAAGAGAAAACACCATAAGTGTCCGGGGCCCAAAACTGTTCAACAGCCTCCCATCAAGCATTAGGGGAATTGCCAATAAACCCCTGGCTGCCTTCAAGAGAGAGCTGGACAGATACCTAAAGTCGGTGCCGGATCAGCCGGGCTGTGGCTCGTACGTCGGACTGCGTGCGGCCAGCAGTAACAGCCTAGTTGATCAGGCCCTGATCCATCGGGAGGCCTGGTCGTGGACCGGGCCGCGGGGGCGTTGATCCCCGGAATAACCTCCAGGTAACCACACTTTAAGTTGTGATGTGAGCCTTAAGTCTTTCGTATAGGTAAGTTTTTACCATCTTCATTTAGAAGCTAATGATTTCGTTTTCCTCAGATTATTTTGAATGTTGTTGAGTGTTATGAGTGACGTTGAGAGTCATGAGTCACTTACCTGTAGTTAATAGACATTTGAGTGTGGTTGACAGTCAAATACGTGTGGTTGACCGCAATGTGAGTGTGGTTTGACTAACAGTCGAGGGTGGTTGTCTACAAAGCGATTTGTGTCATGTGCATGTGCCTGTTTGCTATGTGAGTGTGGATGACTGTCATGGGAGTATTGTTGATTTTCATGTGAGTGTTGTTGATCTGTGCAAGTCAGTGACTCTCGTGAGTATGGTTGAATTTTGTGAATGTGACTGACAAGCATGTGCGTGTGTTTGACTGTCACGTGTACTCACCTAGTTGAGGTTGCAGGGGTCGAGTCCAAGCTCCTGGCCCCACGTGTGTGTGTGTGTGTGTGTGTGTGTGTGTGTGTATGTGTGTGTGTGTGTGTGTGAGTGAGTGATATTCAAGCAAGTGTGGTTCACTGTGTGTCATGTTGTCGTGGCTGGAGATAACTGAAATCAATAAAAATGAATCATGTAATAAAAAATGTTAATTTGTAGGAATAAGTAATAAATACGCCACAATTAAATTCGTAAGTGTAAAGAATGGCTGGTTAAATATGATTATAGGTATAAATGGGATACTAAAAATAATAGGAAGAACGAAATATCACCGTACAATAATTATATTCCAAGATCACATTACACTGTGCAAGATATGTTCTCTCTTCCTCCAAAAATAAAAATCTTCTCCTTCACTGATATTACATAGTTATCATGGCCTTACACTTCTATTAGGCCTTTCAGACTTAGCACAACAAAGTATCATAGCACAACATTAGATCACAGTTATAAATTCTAACGAAAATTCTAAATCTGCTAAAAATAAATAAATACCTGATCTTCGGGAACACCGTGATTAGTAAGGTAAGCGCAGCCAATATCAGTAAAGGCTTCATACAGCTGCCGTGCCACCCTTTGCCACTCCTCCTGACTGGTCTCCGTGTTCCACCCAAGACCTGGTAGTAAGAAATTATCAATAAAGAATAAAAAGGCACAACACACAAAAAACCTGCACATAAGAGAAACTTATGACGACGTCATAACGTAGTCATATGTTTCTATCTGCAGTGTGTGGGTTATTTGTGTATTTATCAGTAAGTTGCTATAGAAAACATCACTTCTGTTCTTTATGGTTACACCCCAAACCAAGCACCAATTAGCTGCTGTAGTAACAGGCAACGCCATCGTTTACCACTTTTGGGTGCTCTCCAAATTCCACCCTAGACCTAACAGTGAAGACCCCTCCTTGTTTGGCCCAGATCACCTTCCCTCCCACGAGGGTCCCTCACCTTAGGTCAAGGTCTCCTTCTTGGCCCATGTCACTTACCAGGTCTAGGTACACTTACCTGACCTTAGTCATCTTTTCTCATGTATATCTGACAAGGTTGAACGTATATTATAAATATACGTTCGTTCACTTGACTGTACAGAACTCTGTATGAGTAACCTATGAGGGAAAAAATAAACAGTAAGGAAATACAAACAGAAAAAACGACAAAAGGAGTAGAGCAAAAGAGGGAAGTGAGCAAGAGAATTACTTTAATTCGAAGTGACAGTAACAGGTCTGAAGGACGACGCTGAATGAGCAATGGAAAGTAAAGCAAAATAATCTCTGAAAGGAAATTAGTGAAAGGTTTAATGAGGAGTGTGGGGAACAAAGGAACTGGAAAAGGGTGACTGAGGAAGAAATGAGGATGTTGAGAAAGTAACTCGAGGAAAGGAGAGAGAGGGCAAGGTTGAGAAATTGTAAGTAGTAGGTTCGCCGGTGTTATCCGAGCCCGGGTCCTTTCCAGATGGTGACCCGGCGAGTTCGGAAGGATACAGGAAGGTGTGAGTAAATCTAAACAACATTTGTAAATTTGTTCACGGAAAAGCAGACGGCAAAAGCGATAACGAAAACTAAATGAAAGTGGTAGAGCACATAATATACACCTCATCTTCACTAACAATGATGATCTGATACGAAATGTTACCATATCAAAAACAATATGCTCAGATCACAACATAATTGAGGTTCAGTCATGTATGCGCGGAGCCCCAGACCGACATAATGAGATTAGTCACGAGGGAGCATTCACCAAATTCAACTTCAACAACAAAAAACATAAAGTGGGACCAAGTAAACCAAGTCCTAACTGATATAAGCTGGGAAGATACACTAAGCAACACAGACCCCAACTTATGCCTAGAACAGATTAACTCGGTGGTGCTCGATGTATGCACAAGGCTTGTTCCTCTAAGAAAAAGGAGGAGTAGATGTAAAATAGAAAGGGACAGGCGCTCCCTTTACAGGCGACGGAAAAGAATAACAGAGCGGCTAAAAGAGGTCAATATATCTGAAAGGCGTAGGGAGACACTGGTCAGAGAAATAGCAAGCATCGAACTTAAGCTAAAGGAATTTTATAGGAGCCAGGAATCGCAGGAAGAACCAAAAGCCATAAATGAAATCGAAAGAAACCCAAAGTATTTCTTCTAGGCCAAATCAAAGTCGAGAACAACGTCCAGTATTGGGCCCCTACTTAAACAAGATGGGTCCTACACAGATGACAGCAAGGAAATGAGTGAGCTGCTCAAGCCCCAATATGACTCAGTTTTTAGCAAGCCGCTAACCAGACTGAGAGTCGAAGATCAAAATGAATTTTTTTGTGAGAGAGCCACAGAATTTGGTTAACGCAAGCCTATCTGATGTTATCCTGACGCCAAATGACTTCGAACAGGCGATAAATGACATGCCCATGCACTCTGCCCCAGGGCCAGACTCGTGGAACTCCGTGTTCATCAAGAACTGCAAGAAGCCCCTATCACGAGCTTTTACCATCCTATGAAGATGGAGCATGGACACGGGGTTCGTCCCACAGTTACTAAAAACAACAGACATAGCCCCACTCCACAAAGGGGGCAGTAAAGCAACAGCAAAGAACTACAGACCGATAGCACTAACATCCCATATCATAAAAATCTTTGAAAGGGTCCTAAGAAGCAAGATCACCACCCATCTAGAAACCCATCAATTACACAACCCAGGGCAACATAGGTTTAGAACAGGTCGCTCCTGTCTCAACTATTGGATCACTACGACAAGGTCCTAGATGCACTAGAAGACAAAAAGAATGCAGATGTAATATATACAGACTTTGCAAAAGCCTTCGACAAGTGTGACCATGGCGTAATAGCGCACAAAATGCGTGCTAAAGGAATAACGGGAAAAGTCGGTCGATGGATCTATAATTTCCTCACTAACAGAACACAGAGTAGTAGTAGTCAACAGAGTAAAGTCCGAGGCAGCTACGGTGAAAAGCTCTGTTCCACAAGGCACAGTACTTGCCCCCATCTTGTTCCTCATCCTCATATCTGACATAGACAAGGATGTCAGCCACAGCACCGTGTCTTCCTTTGCAGATGACACCCGAATCTGCATGACAGTGCCTTCCATTGCAGACACTGCAAGGCTCCAGGCGGACATCAACCAAATCTTTCAGTGGGCTGCAGAAAAAAATATGAAGTTTAACGATGAGAAATTTCAATTACTCAGATATGGCAAACACGAGGAAATTAAATCTTCATCAGAGTACAAAACAAATTCTGGTCACAAAATAGAGCGAAACACCAACGTCAAAGACCTGGGAGTGATCATGTCGGAGGATCTCACCTTCAAGGACCATAACATTGGATCAATCGCATCTGCTAGAAAAATGACAGGATGGATAATGAGAACCTTCAAAACTAGGGATGCCAAGCCCATGATGACACTCTTCAGGTCACTTGTTCTATCTAGGCTGGAATATTGCTGCACACTAACAGCACCTTTCAGGGCAGGTGAAATTGCCGACCTAGAAAATGTACAGAGAACCTTCACGGCGCGCATAACGGAGATAAAACACCTCAATTACTGGGAGCGCTTGAGGTTCCTAAACCTGTATTCCCTGGAACGCAGGCGGGAGAGATACATGATTATATACACCTGGAAAATCCTAGAGGGACTAGTACCGAACTTGCACACGAAAATCACTCACTACGAAAGCAAAAGACTTGGCAGACGATGCAACACCCCCCCCCAATGAAACGCAGGGGTGTCACTAGCACGTTAAGAGACCATACAATAAGTATCAGGGGCCCGAGACTGTTCAACTGCCTCCCAGCATACATAAGGGGGATTACCAACAGACCCCTGGCAGTCTTCAAGCTGGCACTGGACAAGCACCTAAAGTCGGTTCCTGACCAGCCGGGCTGTGGCTCATACGTTGGTTTGCGTGCAGCCAGCAGTAACAGCCTGGTTGATCAGGCTCTGATCCACCAGGAGGCCTGGTCACAGACCGGGCCGCGGGGGCGTTGACCCCCGGAACTCTCTCCAGGTAAACTCCAGGTCAACACCATTCTGGAGACTGGGGGACTAATTAGAACTAGAGAAATTTCATGATAATGAGATTTAAGAAAGTATTGAGAGCACAGTAGTAGATAAAATAAATTCACTGACACATTCACAATAAATGACTAATGTTTCCCTGTCAAACTGGTTTTTTCCTCTGAGATTTATGAGATATCGCGAGACAGAATCTTACAGAAAAAATCAAATCTAAATTGGGTAACAAGATATGGCAATGCATACAAAAACTAAAACAAAATGAAAACCGTAGAGAAGAGGGAAATCGAACTATCAAAAATTCTTCATTACATATCAAATGCAGAGCCGCCATCAAAATATCTTTCCCCCATTCCTTTCATAGTTCACGCCTACAAATCCAATCACATTAACACTTCCATTTTACCTTATATAAAGCCTTCCTCCTCTAACAATACATATCCTCTGTCACACATTTATTAGTGTGATTTTTTCACAGAAATACTCTAAATTCATGCCCAAACCACCAACCTAACCTAAAGCATTCTAACCGTCAACTGCGAATATCTCACACATGCCTGTTTTAACCAACGAGCCAGGAACGTCCTAAGAATCAGGAAGGCCAGTGCATGTCTCACGAACATAACTAGTACATCAAACAAAAGCTGAGAAATGAAAGAACAAGTGGCTACTGAAATTCATCCCCAGCAAACTTAAGATTTGGAAAATTTGGGAAGGTGAAAGAAGACGGACAATAGAGTTAAGATGGGGAAGGGTAGGAGGGGGGCAGAGATGCAAACCACACACAAGAAGGACTTCGACGGTGAGTATAGTATAGCGTTTATCACCAGAAGAACATATCTACCAAACAGTTTATAAAGCGAATGGGATAACCGCAACCTAAGCTTATTTTTCAGAAGCTCAGCAACGTGTTATTCATGACTCTGAATCTGATATATCTCATTCACATCACAGAATATGATACAGCACCATCATGGAACTCATACATGATCAAACATGTCAAGATAACAGGGAAGGACCAATAGTGAACCAAGACTAAGGAGAATGAACTATGAAGAGAAAATTAAAATAATAAATCTGATGATAGAGAATAGATGGAACAGGGAAATGATATTTATAATGAACAAAATACTAAAAGGACATGGAAGGATGGAATGGGATAATAACAGGAGCATAAATGGGAATTTCGGTTACAAATAAGCCCCCAGATATGTCAAAAAAATCTCTAAAATCTTGGAACGATTTAAAATTGCATAACCTGGACTAATTAATGGTGGAGGTAAACACCTGGCATAATTTTAAAAATAGGTATAATCAGGGCCATGAATCCAAGCGTGGCCAAATCTTGACACGGTCAATAGAGGTAGAGTCAAGAGCTGTAAGCAGGTAAATACACAGACAGACGCAAAAAAAAATTCTAGAGTTACACATTAAAATCCAGCAGCCTGGAGGAAAATTTAGTATTACTGCATAATGGAATCGGTAAACCAAAGGAAAATCAGAATCACAGACTCTAATATGCAACATGAACGTGTTAAGTCATTTACAATAGTACATATTTGTAAATGAAGCCACAAAATTTCTTATGTGAGCACAGGTACAAAACACAAACTTACCCAGCTGCCCCAACTCCACCACAGGGATCTTATTAGACAGAGACGTGTCCGGTGCCATCTTTCAGTCGTTTACTCTCCTGCAAGAGAAACAAAATGAAGTAAATATGGCTTGAGGGTAACTGGATCAACGCTGCAAATTCCTTCATGTTGAGGTTGGCTCTAGAACACACACACACATATTATTCTTCCTTGTACTGATACTTACAGAGACCATATTATCCTGTTTGAGAAAAACTGAGTGTTAATGTGTCGTTTGTGGTCAGTTTAGCAGCATCAGAATTCATTTTCTTCAATACTTAGTTGAAGTGTGTCTGCTCTCTCAGTGAATATTTTATAATGAAGATTCACGAAAAATATCTGCTCTCTATAGAGAAACTAAACAACCGCAAAACAAGAGAACAACATAAGACAGAGAGAAAAAATCAACCTAGAAGAGAGACAGGAAAACAAACAATCCTTATTGATTTGTTGATATGCTAATGAGGAATGTTAATGACGACCACTTAACTTTTGACCAGTGTTTGAGAGTGACTACTTGACCAGTGTTTTGAGAGTGACTACTTGACCAGTGTCTTGAGAGTGACTACTTGACCAGTGTCTTGAGAGTGACTACTTGACCAGTGTCTTGAGAGTGACTACTTGACCAGTGTCTTGAGAGTGACTACTTGACCAGTGTTACGGTTCGAATCTTAATCTTTAGCCAGGTTAGTGCGCTCCGTAACAATACACTTCATAGAATAAGAAGATACTTCCAAACTTAGAAATACAAGGCACAAATAATAGTTACTCAGTCTTTTCTTAGTCTCAATTTATTTGAAAGCTTAAATACTTTTTAGATATTCACAAATATCTATTAAATATCACTTAGTCAGAAACTTTCAATCACACAAGAAAACTTCTTAATGATCAGAAGAATATTACTGCTTCCTCACTAGTGACATTACTTGTACGTAAGTACATACATTGGGAAATAACACTTTCACTGAGTAACTCCCTGGCATAAGGAATATATCACAAAGTTCTAAGCTTGACACTGGTAGTCACATCGTAAACTGAAGGTAACAATGTATAACTGTCCGCAGACTTCACTTCAGAATAAACCTCAAGCTGGTTCAGGAGTTTCTATAACACAATTCTCTATCCAAGTGAGAATAAGGTGGAGTACCGTAAGGGTAGCTCAGTCAATGCACACTGAGTCGGCAGAGAGAGCGAACTGAATTAACACAGTTAATCCCTAACTGACATCAACTCGTCAAAGGGGAGAGGGAATAGTAGTCTAAACTACCCTCCAAGGACATACCTTGTTTCAACTCTTACCCAGCTGTTACTTACCTACCCAGCACATTACTCAAAATACATAAATATATATATACATTCGCTGCCTGACCACGGTAGAGTGCGGTTGTGCTCTGCACCCCTCTGCTGTTTGAAGGCAAGCTCCCTTGTCAGTTACCTGGCTGCAGTGGTGTGAAGTGGTGCTGTCACGTCTCTGCTAACAACTTAGGTGCACTGTGCTTGTCAAGATGTCGGTTAGTCTGAGACGCCGGATAAATACTGTAGGCACTGAGCTACTTAAAGGAACGATAACGCCTAGCTCTGCGCAAGTCTTATTGCCAAAGATCATCCGGGAGACATATGGCATACAAGATAGTGACTTGTATGGTGTAGCATTAAACGGAGGCCAAAGAATTTTCGTCAAACTGTTATCAGCTACGGTTTATGAATCATTAGTCACCAGATTTCAGGACGTAAGTCTTAGCGTTCACACCAGCTGCCCAGCGTAAGATTGATAATGTTTCACGGCATTATACGTGGATCAAGTTACGCAACGTTCCCTTTGAGGCGGACGAACCGGATATAAGGAAAGTTTTTGAGACGTATGGGACGGTGCATTATGCTCAACATGGTACGTGGGCGGCAGGTGCCTATGCTGGTTTTCCAGAGGGTTCTTTTAGCCTCAAAATGACTTTGAGGCACCCAATACCGTCCTATGTGTATCTACAAGATTTCAGGACGCAGGTAATGGTAATGTACCCAGGACAACGGTGTACATGCCGCCTATGTGGTGAGTATGATCATATAGCAGGCGAACCTGTGACAAGCGAAGACGTGTGCCTGGACCTCTGGTGGACGTCGCAGCCCCTGCTTCAAAGGTGGCAGGTGAGAAACAAACATCGCATGGAGGGCGTGGTGTTTTGTGGAGCGAGATAGTGGATCGGGCACACTGGACTGGCGGTGAGTTGGAGTCCCTCCCCCAGTTGCCTGATCAGGTATCGTCTCCTGTGGATAAGGAGGAGCAGCAATTACAGGAGAAGGTTCTTGAGATTGAGGAGGAATTGGAGGAGGTGTTGAAGACTTTGTCACTGCCAGAGAGGGACGTTACATCTGAGCGTGGTGTAATCGGAGAGTCGTCACTTCCAGAAAGGTCGGAGACATGATAATTTGGGACGGGGATGGGGGTTTTGGGGAGTCGTCCGTTGAGTCATTAAACCATTCTCAGGTGGAGGTGGAGTTCCATCGAGAGGCAACATCTGACCAAGACATGTGTAACATGACGTCACGAGAAAGAGGGCGGCTACAATCAGATTCTGATGACGTCCCTTACGCTTGCAAAAAGGCCTGGGAAAACAGACTGGGGTGAGTGTGAAGGTAGTGGGTAGGTGGTGGTAGCCATGATAGGAAACACCGAAAGAAAGGGGGAGGGAAAAGAGAGCACTCTGAAGGTGTCAAACTTAAATTCAAGCTCTGGAGTTGTAAAGAGTGATGAGAGGAAGCAGGGGGGGAAACTTTAATAGGCCTTAGGTGTATTTTTGTAAATGTTAATGGGTTATGTAGGGGTATGAAGAGAGATTGGTTTCGTAATTTCCTGAAATAAATCTAGAGTTAATGTTGTGTTCCTGAAAGAGCACAATTTTAAAGAGGGTAGGGTTTTGGAGGGGGCAAGATTTCCAGTAGTTACCCGCCATCCCCCCGCTAAAAGGTGTGGTGGGAATTTTTAATAAGGGAGACGAGCTCGTTTGTTTTGCAGAGAAGCGAGGGAGGAGGGGGAGGGAGGGGGGTTGCTGTGGATGGGTGGTGGATAGGTAAGCGTGTGTCTTTTGTGAGTGTGTATGCGCCGGCAGAAAATAACATAAAGGTAAAGAAATGATTTTGTGTGTGAGGATCTTGTGTTTTTCCTTAAGTGCACTGCCAGAGGTGGCGATATTTGGGTGGGGATTGGAATAGTGTAATCAGGGTGGCTGATGTGGCCCCAAAAAGGGGGCTGGATATATGTCTGTGGCTTTTAGGGATTTATTAAGGGATGTTAGGTTACGTGATGCCTTTGGGGGGGGCGGTGGGGGAGACGAATAAAACGTTTGTTAGGAGTGGATATGCTGCGAGACTAGATAGAGTGTACCTTTCTCAGGGAGTGGATTGAAATCTTTCAGTACTGTTGAGGCTACAATGTCAGATCATAGGGCAGTGGTGGTGGAGGTTGGGTGGGGGACGCTCGCGGACATATATAGAAGTTATTGGAAATTAAATATAAGTGTGTAAGGTGATGAGGAGGGGTTGGAGGGGTTTTCAGTCCTATGGAGGGAGCTTAGTGTGGAAGAACAGGGAGTGGATGACATTGTGACATGGTGGGATAGTGTTGCAAAGGAAAGGATTAGAAAGTTTTATGTGAGAGAAGGAAAACGTATTAATAATTTAAAATATGGACTGGCTAACTATTTAGAGGATAGGTTAAGAGGTTGCTATTTGGGAATAATTTTCCTATGGATGAAATAGCTGAAATAAAGGGGAGGTTGAGGGTGTTGCAAAATGAAAGGTTTCAAGCTGTAAGGGTGCAGGCAGGGGTGGAAGAGGTGCTTTGGGGCGACAAGCCGTCAGCGTGTGTTTTGCGGCATCAAAAGCAAAGGCAGGCGGTGACAGCTATCCCATGTTTAGAGGTAACGGAGATGGTTGGAAATTATAGAGCAGGGCAGGAGATACGAACCATGAAGGGGATTGTGCGTAGCGGAGGCTGGTACAGAAGTACTGGAACAGTGGGGGGGGTGACGGCGTTGGACAAGGTGTGTACGTATGTGACGTGTAATTTAGGAAATAGTGAAAAGAAAGGCTTTAGTGGGACTATTACGGCAGAGGAAATAGAGAATGCGTTAAGGGGAATGAGGAAGGGAAAGCGCGCGGGTTATTGACGGTCTCCCGGTAGAATTTTATTTACAACATTGGACGTTAATAAGTGGATTTAAGTTAGGTTAAATTTTAAACGATGAAGGAGAAGGGTAAGTTGGGGAAGAAGCAGGTAACAGCAGTTGTAGTGTTGGTCCCGAAGGTCAAGGGGCCCCCCACCCTTCGGGAGTACCGTGCCATATCACTGATGTGTGCAGACTATAAGGTGTTTGCAAAAATTTTAGGTAATAGGTTCAAATGTGTTGTGGGAAGGGTGGTGTCAAAATCTCAGTTTGGGTTGCGGGAAGGTCGATGATTGAAGGACATGGGATACTGAGAAGTTTTGTGGAAGCTAAGGGTGGGGGTGGAGGGGCGGCTTTGTTGGCTCTAGATTGGCAGGGAGTAAATAACAAAAAGGCACAATACCGTGACTGGAACGATACACAAATAACCCGCACATAAAGTGACTTTGTCAATGGTCCAAGTCGGACCGAAACGTCGTCGTAAGCTTCTCTCTTTTATGTGCGGGTTATTTGTGTATTGGCAGGGAGCATATGATAGAGTGGAAAGGGGAGCTTTGCAGGTTATACTTAAGAGACAGGGTTTTTGGGGGAGGAAATAGTCGAGTGGGTAAACACGTTTGTACAAGGGGGCGAAAATGAGGATACAGATTAATGGGTGTATGGGGAGGGAAATTGCAATGGGTAGAGGCCTTAGACAGGGATGCCCCATGTCCCAAATATTGTTTGCGTGTTTCCAGGACTCCTTTTATAGAATGGTTGACCGCAGCTTATGTACGCCATGTGAGGGAAGTGTGGGGGGTGGGAGGGCCTGGCCCGGGTTTAATTGGATATGTTGAAATACACCACTGTTCTCATTTGTGAAGGGATGTCAATGGGAGTGGGTGGACGAGGTTGTGCAATTATTTGGAAGTGCCACGGGTATGCATGTAAATAGCGCAAAGTCAATGTGTGGGGTTGGGTTTCTTGGGTGGGGGGTGGGGGGGAGATGTAATGTTGTTAAAGAATGGGCGGTGTCTTTAAAGATTTGTGGTATTATTTATAAGGATGACATGGTTGCGGCGCGGGAGGAAAACTCGGATGGTTTTTGGAAAGATCGTGGGGCGTCTAGGTGTTCTGAACCCCAGCACCTAACTCTTTATACAGCGGTGATAGTCGTAAAATTTATTGTATAGGTAAGATTTGGCATGTTGCAGGCTGTGTTCCCAATTAAAAGGGACAGCGATGCAGGAATTCTAAGAGGGTGTACAAATTTTATGGGGTTCACGTTGTAATGGAAGTTGTAATTAACTGTAAGGGCAGGTGGGTTGGGTTGATGGATTTGAGCGGAGGGGTAAATGTGTGTTTATTAATGGGAAGTGTTGCGTGAGGGTGTGAACACGGGCAGTTGGGAATGATACATGAAGGCTAAATATGTGATCGAGGAATGGAGTTGAAAGGAATGCGAATCGTTTTGAGGGCTGGTGTGGTTAGGAACTGAAAAGGTTCGTATAAGGGTTTTGGAGGTTACTTGTAGGTAGGTCGTTATCCCAGTTGAGGTTTTTCCCCATGTATGCGTGAAAAGTATTTGGTTTAGATTTATAAAAATGAAGTTAAACCCTCGGGCACGTGAGGTGGACGTATCGTTTTCCTGCCCTGGATCCTGCCGTCTGGGAGAGGGTGGGGGGTGTGTACTGTGGAGGGGATGAGACCACGTTCCCCTGTAGTTTCTTTTTTTTTATTATATTTTATTTAAAAAACACAATACATTAAATTTGATAAAGAACACAGTACAATTCTTACACAAAAATTATAAATTTCATTGTCTAAATACACCACAGACGATTAACTTTTTGCTTGTCACAAAATGTCCCTATCCACTATACATATACCCATACACCCCATTTAAGCAAGAATACACAAGAGGGCATTGACAAAATGCATTATTATTATTTAAACAAGAAGACCCAAACCTCGTTCTGTCCAGACCGAGCTTTGGTGGAATGGTAAGGAATAGAAATTTTGGAAAGGGTTGGGGGGGGGAGAGAGGTAGGGTATTTAAAGGTAAGTGGCCCAACCAAATTTGGTGAATTTAAAAGTGTACGTGAAATGATAGATAACTTAAGAGGTATAAGACAACCATCAGAGTCACATAGATATAACAGAAATATTAAGTACATGACTCTGATTGGATGTAATTATTTAAAGTTTCAATTGCTTTTTTTTTTTTTTTTTTTTTTTTTTTTTTGTGCGATTGCACAACGGATATTTATGCGACAATGAAGGCAATAATTTTCTGGCCAGTTTATAGAATTCCGTGACAATGGCTTCTTAAGGTGGTGTCCAGCCAAGTAAATAGCATAATTTTTACATTAGATTTATAAAGTCTCCCTAATTTGGGGGCGATGATGTTCTCATATACATAGAAGGGGTCTGGTGTACCCAATCTTCTCATCAGGGAGGGTTTCTCAGTATCATGTGTCATGTAATCAGTTTTATGTATAAAAAAGACGGACCCTCTTTGGGAGAGTTCATTCTTTTAGTCCTTTAGGAAGTAATTGATGATCAATCCGTGTATTTACCACTTGTATAGATGTTCTCTATCTGCATGTATAGTTTCTTGCATTGTATAGATTGTTCTTTTTTAAGGGTGTCCCAAAGGGGTACATTTATGGCAGTAATATCTTGTTGTATGTGTAAACTGCCATTTTAAACTCTGTCCCCTCTTTGAGTCCGTGAGGAGGAGTATTGATGAATAATCCGTGGTATTTACCACTTGTATAGGATGTTCTCTATCGGGCATGTTGTTTCTTGCATTGTATAGAGTTGTTTTTTTTTTTAGGGTGTCAAGGCGTAATTTTGGCGTATATTTTTGTTGTATGTGAAAATCTGCCTTTTAAAAACTCTGTCTCTCCCTGGTATCGGTATAAAAGCGAAGAGCTCTTTTCTGGACCCTTTGAACCCGTGCATTTTGTCTTTGTTGTTAATAAATTGGGACACATTTTTTTATACAGATTTTTTTTGACATTTTGAGGGGCTTGATTGAACGAAAGGACGCAAAGACCGGGCTTTGGCATGTTGATTTTTTAGTTCATGAGAGGGTTGAGTGGG